TGTGTGTGTGTGTGTGTGTGTGTGTGTGTATGTGTGTGTGTGTGTGTGTGTGTGACCATTTTCTGGCCTCTGTATCTAGTGGCTATTCTGTTCTCTGACTCCAGATAAGTTTATTAGGGTGCACAATATATTGGAGAACACATTATCACCATGATTTTTGGGGCCTGGGAGATAGCTCAGTTGGCAAAGAACTTGGTATATAAGCTTGAGAACCTGAGTTGACATTTCCAACACCCTCCTAAAAAGTTGAGTGTGGTGTATGCTCATAGAACCCCAGAACCAGACAGGTAGAGACAGTTGGGACTTGCTGGTCAGTTACTCTAGCTAAATCGGGAAGTACTAGGTTCATTGAGAGACTCTCTCAAAAATAAATAAATAAACAAACAAACAAACAAATAAATAAATAAATAAATTAAATAAAAGGTGGAGAGGACTGAGGAAGAAATTGATGTCAACTCCTGGTCTCCACATATAACTTTGCAGTAGTTTGTTTTTTTATTATTTTAAAAATTTGCCAGGCAGTGGTGGCACACACCTTTAATCCTAGCACTTGGGAGGCAGAGATACATCTGAATGTCTGTGAGTTCAAATCCACCCTGGATTACATGAGATTGTATAGATATAATTCTAAACAGTCCTTATTAAATAAGAAACACAGAGCCAAATAAAGAGTTAAAAGCCCAGAGATTGAGCAGTAGCCAAGAGCTGGATGGATCTCTGCCTTTGGAATGCAAGGATTAAAGGTGTGTGTGTGTGTGTGTGTGTGTGTGTGTGTGTGTGTGTGTGTGACCATTTTCTGGCTTCTGTATCCAGTGGCTGTTCTATTCTCTGACTCCAGATAAGTGAGTTCAAATCTGCCCTGGGGGCAGGGCAGTGGTGGTGCATGCCTTTAATACCAGCACTTGGGAGCCAGAGCCAGGCGGGTCTCTGTGAGTTTGAGGCCAGCCTGGGCTACCAAGTGAGTTCTAGGAAAGGCACAAAACTACACAGAGAAACCCTGTCTGGAAAAACCAGAAAAAGAAAAAAAGAAAAAAGAAAAAAGAAAAAAAAGAAAAAAAGTCCACCCTGGATTACATGATATTGTGTAGATAGATATAATTCTAAACAGTCCTTATTAAATAAGAAACACAGAGCCAAACAAAGATTTAAAAGCCTTGAGATTGAGTAGTAGCCAAGAGCTAAGACCACCTTATCTTACCACCCACTGCTGTCCTTCCTCTGAGAGAGACCTTCTTCTGTGTCCTGTCTTTTTATTGCCTTTCTGTTCTGCCTTCTCATTGGTTGTAAACCCAACCACATGACTTCCTTGTCACTGTCTGTCTATACAGACCTCCAGGTCTCTATGGTTGGCACTGAGATTAAAGGCATGTGTCACCATGCTGGCTGTGTCCTTGAACACACAGAGATTCTGCCTGTCCCGTGATCAGATTAAGGGCGTGGGCTACCACTGCCAGACTTCTGCTTAATGGCTTGCTCTTAGCTCTGATCCCCAGGCAACTTTGTTATCATACAAAAAAGGTCACATTTTAGCACAAATAAATATCACCATAAGATTGACTCAGTCTAAGAGAGAAACAGATCCAGGCAGTCGTGGCACACACCTTTAATCCCAGCACTTGAGATCTCATGTCTTTGCTTGGGAAAGACACACGCCTTTAATCCCAGGAAGTGACATCAGGGAAGAGAAAGGTATATAAGACGTGAGGACCAGGAACTAAGCATTTGATCTGAGATCCATTTGGATGAGGACTCAGAGGCTTCCAGTCCAAGGAAACAGGATCATCTGAGGAATTGGTGAGGTGAGGTGGCTGTGGATGGTTCTGTCTCTCTGATCTTCCACGGTTCACCCCAATACCTGGCTCTGGATTTGTTTTTACAAATAAGACTTTTTAAGATTTGTACTACATCTGGCGGTGACAAGGGGTGGCGGGAGAGGAGCCACTAAAGCAAGCCAGTCAGCAGAGCTAGACCCAGCAGCTGTAAGATTCATGTCCACCACGTCCCTTCCCGAGTGCCCAACCCGGCCGGGCTTGTCTTTTCGGCCTGACATGGACTTCAGGGAGATTCTCTTGATCGCTTCCAAAGGACAAGGTGTCAACCCTGTGCCGAAAAGGTATAGTTTGGCCGTGGGGCCCCCCAAGAAAGACCCCCAAGTTAAAGGTGTCGAGCCGGCAGCTGTACAGGCTTTCCTTCGGAGGAAAGAAGAGGAGCTTAGACGGAGAGCCTTAGAGGAGAAAAGGAGGAGAGAAGAGCTAGTGAAAAAGCGAATTGAGCTCAAACATGACAAGAGAGCAAGAGCTATGGCCAAGAGGACAAAGGACAATTTTCACGGTTACGATGGGATTCCTATTGAGGAAAAGTCCAAGAGGAGGCGGCCAGGGGAAAGCCGCCTGAACCAGGGAACTGACCACGAGTGTGCGATGGAGGCGTTCCTGGACTACAGTCACGCTAAGTTGGAGCCCCCCAAAGCTGAAAGCAAACCAAAGGCCCCCGTTAAAAGTGCCCCTCCACCCATGAGCTTCACTGACTTAATGAGGTTAGCTGAGAAGAAGCAGTTTGAACCCGTGGAGATCAAGGCCGTGAAGAGGGCAGAGCAGCGGCCCCTGACTGCTAAGGAACTTAGGGAGCAAGAGTTTCTGGAATGCAAGCGCAGGAAACAGAAACCCGAAACAGATGCCAAACTACCTCCGCCTGGGTCCAAAAGGGCACCGTCTCAAATAGACAGCGTGGGCACAAAACCCAGCAAGGGTTCTGCGGACAGGCAGCTTTCTTCCCAAGGATTGCCCCTGCCCCGTGCCGAGAAGCAATCCAGACCCAGCACAGCCAATGAAAGACAAGTAGCTTTGTCTTCATCCAAATCCACGCCTCTGGGAGAGAGGACCAAGGTAGGATCCGGCAGTAGTTCCCAACCCTTGCTTCGGGAAGGTCACAACAGACCTGTCTTCAATGGGACTGGAAAGCCCCACCCCAGCACCAGATCACCAAGTGTCCCAAAGGCTTCTGCTAGTGGGACTCAGAAATCTGCTTCTGAGCACCAAGCCAAAAATCCTCTTCCTTCTTGTCCCAGCCATTCCAAGCCTGGGCCCACAGTTCTCTCAAACAACAAAGCCAAGAGTCCAAGTTTGGGACAGCCAGGCAGCCACTCTGGCTCAGCTCCTGGGCGCCCTAGCCCAGGGACAGCTCGGACCACAGGTAGTTCTGTTTCCATGCACAGGCGCCAGAATGGCAGCTCCAGCTCAGGACTTGAGCAGTCAGTCAGTGGGATCAGAAAGCTGGCCAGCAATGCACATCCCTCCGGACGAACACTCAATAGCACCAATGGACCTGGACGACCTGCAAGCAGCTCAACTGGCCATGAGCGATCCCCTAGTGGCCCTAGTGTTTCTGGGAGACCTGTGAGCAGGTCTGGAGGTCCTGGGAGGCCTTCAAACAGTCCCCAGGATATTCGACGCCCAATGAGCAGCTTCGGCTCCTCTGGGCTGTCAGTCATTGGCCCTGGGAGGTCCATAAGGGGTTCCATTTCAACTGGACGAACTATCAGTTCAGGTCCTGGAAGACCAGTGAGCAGCTTAGGACCTGGACCAACAGTTAGTAGCCCAGGCCTCCCCATAAAACCCAAGTGCACGGTTGTCTCAGAAACAATTTCTTCAGAGAACATTGTTAGTCGGTCAAGCAATGGACAGATAAATGGAATGAAGCCTCCCCTGTCTGGATCCAGATCTGCCCAAGGTCCCCAAAGGCTCCCCTTCCCTACTGGCTACAAAAGGCCTCGAGAGTATGAAGCTGACGGTGATGATGATGATGAATATGACTCAGAAATGGATGATTTCATCGAAGATGGAGGAGAACCTCAGGAGGAAATATCCAGGCACATTCGGGAAATCTTTGGCTATGACCGAAAAAAGTATAAGGATGAAAGTGACTACGCCTTGCGTTACATGGAGAGCAGCTGGGAGGAGCAGCAGAAGGAGGAAGCCAAGAGCTTAAGACTGGGGATCCATGAGGACTTAGAAGAAATGAGACTGCAAAAGGCCAAGAAGCACAAGTACCATTAGCTGCTGCTGAATTTGTGAATTCTGGGATACTGCTGCAAGGATTTCCTGCCTTCAGACTGAACAAGCCCCTCTTCAGTTAGATTTACACGTGGGCCCTCAAGAGGAAGCAATGAAGGAGAGCATGCTGTCATTCGCAGGCTATCATTTGAGTATAGCCTGTTTTCAAACAGTCCAGGCTGGAATCTGTAATACAGATGATACATGCTCTGATGAAGTTAGCCATGCACAGGCGACAGTTTTGATATTGATGAGCTATGCACAGTAATGGCGGGGGGTGGGGTG